CTCTCTCTCTCTCTCTCTCTCTCTCTCACGCACACAGACGTTCCCTCTCCTCCTCTCTTGATCACACAGAGGCACACGCGCACTCTCTCCCTCTCACCAACACCTCCTTCAGCTTACCAGTAGTGGTAGTAGTAGTAGTAGCAACAATAGCAACAGCGGACATGCATGCATTATTCAAACGTTACCCCCTCGCTGCGTTTGGGGCGGCGTTGAGTTCGCGCCTAACCTCCGGTGTTAAGAGGTAGTGGAAGTGCTTGGCACACACCTGCTGCAGCAGCTCCACCTGCTCCGCCGTCAGATCACCCTTGTAACGCTGCGTGAAGGAGAGAAGTGTCTGGTGCCACAGGACGGGCAGCTTCTCCTCTTTGGCGTGTGTCCGAATGAAGCGATGAAAGTACTCAACGAGTGCATCCACTGCCTGATACGGCATCGCCATCTTTTTATCAATGAGCACGCGCAGAAACACCGAGCGAGGTCCAGAGAACGGCTGCTGCGCCAACTTCACAATTGTCACTGCCGTTGGGACCGGTGGAAGGTGCATCCGCTGCAGCACACTTGCCACGACAAGGGCCTCCTTGAGCGTGCATTCCTCATCCGCGACAAGTGGGAGAATGAAGCCCTTGAAGAAAGCCACTGGCTTAAACAGTGCCTTACGAATGGCCATGTAGAGTGCGGGGTGGAGCTTCTTCTCCGTCGCCATGCGCTCGTGCGTCATGGGCAGCAGCACCGCAGCGTAGAAGCGCTGGGCCATGCGCTCGTTAAGGTTCGCAGCGAAGATGCGCGTGGCCTGGTATGTCGCATGCGGTGACCACTCGTGCGGCTTCGTGAGCATCAGCAGCTGCTCCCAGTTCTTAATGTTCGGAAGCACCTTGAACGCCTTGGGGATTTTCCCTGATGTGTAGTTCTTCAGGATGCCGCCAATCGCCGTGTACACACGCGCCACGCGGGGGTCTATTCTCTCCTCGTCCTCGTCGCCATCGTTGTGTGAGACGCCCGCCCCTGCCGCTCCTGCTGCCGTCTTGCGAGCCCCCTCGCGTTCCCTAATCTTCTCCATGATCATGTCGGCCAAGTTGCGGCTCTGCACGCGCGAGGGCGGCTGGAATTTCTGCAGCAGCCGCGCCTCCTCCTCGTCGATACCGTACATGTCTGCCCCCATTTCCATCTCCGACGGGATCTCCGACATCACTGACTCTGCGTCGTCGTACTCGATCACCACCTCCTCGTCCTCGTCGCCGTTGCTGGCGTACATGTCGCCCAACTGCGCCTCGCACTCGAGCTCCGCCAGGCCTGGGTCTTCAATATGGTTGTTGTGGTGGTGGTTGCCGCTTTCTTCCTCGTTGTCGTAGGCGTCATTGTAACGCTCCTCGTCGGCGATCGCCTCGAGTTGCTGTCGGGCCGTCTTGAGGATGCGGGTCGTTGTGCGATTCGGCAGGAGGATGCCATTCTTGTCGTCACCGTCGGCATCCTCTGCCTCTGCGTGGCGCTTGGCGCTGGCGAAGCGGTCAGCGTGCAGGTCCTCGCCAAGCGGGTTTGTGCGGCTTTTCACGCGCCGCCCCTTCTCACGCCCCGGCATTGCCGCAGTAGTCGCTGGCCTCCTCTTCACTCTGCCGAGCGGCGGGGAGGGAACGCGAGTAAGAGAGCAACGGAGAGGAAACAAAAAAAAACGAAGGAGCAGGATTGGCACACATTATCAACAACGGCAAGAACAGCAGCGGGTTTCAGTGGGGCACGGACGGTGCAGCGTGAAGCAGAGCGGTGCATCACGCGCCCCGCCACAGGCACATATAAATATATATATATAAAAGATAACGAATGGTGAAGATGAAGCCCTATGCCGCTCCGCCAAAGCGCAGCCAGCAGGAATATGAAAACGATAGACCGCCGCGTGGGAGATTGGAGGGAATAGAACTGGCATGTCAAAAAGAGTAAACGACCGGGAACAAAATTCGCAAGGAAAAACTCCTGCCCCAGACGTATTTCCCTCCACGACTGTACTTTTCAGCCGCTCTGTTTTGTGTGGGGATGTGTTTGTGTGAATTTTCTCATATAGTTCCTGCGACACTCCGCACTATTCTCATTGTGACTTTATCGCTTCTCTATGGGCTCTTTGCCCGGCTTGGCGCCATCCGCGTCGGCTGCTTCGCGCGCGCGTTGCGGTAACACAGCAGTTCCTCCGAGCGGCGCACCAAATCCGCCTGCACGCGCCGCAGCCGCTGCTCCTTCGCCGCGATCTCCGTGTCGCGGTCCTCGAGGATCTTCATCCACGATGTCACTTTCCGGTTGAGCGCCTCCACTTCGCTGATGCGCGCCTGCAGGCTCTGCTCCCGCTCCTTGTGCGCGGCGATGTCATTGCGATAGTTTTCCTCACGCAACACCAGCGACGCCTCGCGCTGTTCGGTGCGGCGCTCTAACGCGGCGAGTGCCTGTCGCCTCTCGCGCACCTCCCGCTGCCTATCATCGAGTTCACTGAGTCGCCGCTTCAGTAATCGCTCCTTCTCTGCCACAGCCGCGCGGCGGTCGTGCACGCGTGCAAAGAGGGACTGCGCAGCATCACAGTCCGCAAGGAGCTGCTGCACCTGTTGATCTACGTTCAACGCATCGGTCTCGTAGATAGCAGTAAGCGTCCTGCCTGTCGGCTCGCGGCGCCGCAGCGCCTGCTCCTTCTTCGTGAGCGCGTCACGCGAGCCGGCGAGTCGCTGCGCCTGCTCCCGCTGTGGCAGCGCGCGCGGGAAGCGCTCAATATCCACTGCCCTCTGAAGCTTTACGACGGCCTGCTCCGCCATTGTGAGTCTGTGGTAGGCCGTCTCCAGTTGTGCAAACGACGGGGCCGTTACTGTCTCGCCTGCCTGTTGTGGCTGCTGCTGCTTCTGCTGCAACGCACCCGCTTCACTTTCCGCCTCCTCGGGCAGTGGCGGTGGCGGCGTGCGCGACGACACAGAGTTGCCGTCAGCAGACCTTTTTCCGCTGGACTCGAGGGGACTACTATTGTTCTTGCTTCGGCTCTGCGGCGCCGCAGAAACAGCCGTCTTGGCGGCGGACAGCCCCTCTGCACGCTGCATCTCGCGCACCGACAGGGCAATATCCTCTACTGAGACCGGCTCGTTGAGGAACGGGTTCAGAAATCCCCCCTCTTCGCTGTCGGAGTACAGCGTCGTCGAGTCGTCATCGTCTTCTGCGGAGGACGCGACGCTGCTGGACGTTACGGCCGTGCGCTTCGCCTCCTGCGGTGGGGATGGCGGCGGCGGCACCGTGCGCTTATCGCAGCGTCGCGTCTCGTCACTCGTCTTCCGCGCAGCGCTGAAGTCTGCCGCGAGATCACGCTCTAGCCGCGGCGCGAACTCTTTGCCGCCGCCCCCCGCCGTCTCACCAGGCCGTCGTTTTCCTCCTCCTGATCCCGCTGCTGGTGCTTCTGATGGCTTGGCGGCTCCTGCGGGGGCGGCGCTCTTCTCCACGTTGGAAACGCCCGCGACAGCCCCCATGGCCTCCGCGATGGTGGCGTTGTACAACTCAAGCCGCTCGCGCAGGAGCTGGATGCGTTTGTTCGAAGACATAGACTCTTCTGTCATGTCTGCCCTCCCACCCTGTATAGAAGCTGAGCTACTTTTCTCTCTCTCTCTCTCTCTCT